AAATATTTTTAAATTCTTTAATTCTGTAATGTTGTTATTTTTAGTAGCATCAGGAGACAGCTGTGGACACAGAGAGGCACCAGTCTGTGATAGTTCTCATGCACTAAGATACACCCACAATGTTTCAAGTGAGCCACAACAGATCAGGAGTAAAACCTCTCTTCCCTCCCCAGCCCGAGGGTGTAAATGACCCGTGCACAGCTCCCAGACTGTCCTGACATCCTGGCAACTGCCCACCAGGAACCACCACATCTGCTTCCAGGGTGTCCCTTCTGCCTGGGAGGACAGCGGGTCCCCCGCTGGGTTAGAGCAAGAAAGTCATCAAGTTTAAATCTTCAGCTTCTCTTCCCTACTAAAGCTTATCAAAACCCAATCGATGTTTTGAACCCGCTGCTTCCCCCTTGTCACCAGACTTGCTCCAGCTGGTCACCACCTACAAACATTAACCCGACCAGAGTCACACTAGGATTGCTCAAAAAACATCCTGTGTCCTGAGTCACAGGGGACTCTGGTCTCTATCACCTGATAAGGGTGATGGGAAGCAAAGAACAGGAGCTGCTGTCACTGCCCCACCGACACTGAGTGAGGACTGAACAACTCACAGTCCTTCCCAGGGAAGGAGGAGGATTTGACTTGGAAGATCAGGTCTCATTTTCCCCCTCTTCCACCACACAAGGATTCCCCACTGCCCTCTCAAAAGGGAAAGGACACTTTAATTAAAGTCCCAGGCAGCACCTGGACACTGGATTTTAACGGCAGTTTTGCAAACACCTGAGGATACAAAGCAGGAGCAGACTGCTGGTGTTACTGTGAGGAACACATCCCGTGTGAGCAAATCCTCTTGACTGGGTCTGTTCGTTAAATTCTGATGTCTTGATGTTTTACTTAAACAAACCTCAAGTGTTTCTCTGAGTAACACTGCTATCAGGTGCAGAGACACACTTTCATGCACAGACCTGAGTTTTACTGAAAGCATGATCCCATCATCACTGCTAGAACTCAAAAATCAAACACTTATCCTAAGTCATGGGAAAAGCAATTAAACTCCCTATTAGCTAAACCATGTCTTTAGACTCCCCATCAAATACATCCACTTCTGGGCAATGCAGGTGTTCCAGTGGATATAAAGAATTTGAACAGCCCACCCGCAGGGATGGAAATGGGCATCTCTAAGGCAATTTGAATTCTGTTAAAAGCCAACACCTGCTCTCCAAGGCCAGTAAAAGGCACAGAGGTGTTAGATTTTTCTCCTTGCCATGCTGGACAATCCCAGATTTCTGAGGTAAGAACTACTATCTCCACCCCTGCTCCCTCACTCGCACACACTGAACTGCCCCACATCTGACACCAGAGAGAACTGAATTTTACTGCAGATTTCTGCAGTATTTTCAGAGATAAACTTACAAATATCTTCATGCAAAACATCACCTTGGGAGTACTAGTTAAACCATAGCTACAAATTCTCCTAAACTGAAGAAAAAAAACTAAGGACCTCCAGCAGAGATCTGACAACCCTAAAAATAATAACCTTAAACAGATCTTTTTCACCCGAAAGCTGGATCCAAAAGACTTTGCAACAGTAAAGCTTTCCCCGCCCCCTGCACAATGGAAATCATTATCTGACACACATCAATTAAATATCACACCTACTAGGCTAATAAAAATTCAGCTTTCTAAACAAAAGCTAAAAAGAGAATGTAAAGAAATATTACATGTAAATTACTAATACATATATATGTGTATATATATATTCTTCCAAACTAGGAATCCCTCACCCAACTGCACTGAAATACGAACTTTAAATCCACCACCACCACCAGCTACTTCAAATTAATTCGCTTTCTCACAGAACTAAAGAAGGTCCAAACCTGTCACCCTTAAAGCTAGCACTCTACAATTAAAAGAAAATCATTCCCTTTTATTGCCTCAATACAATTTCCACATTAACTTCAGAGAAATTCAATGACTTTTATGGAGTTCCAGGAGCTCCCTGTGCAGGTGGGCTGAGACTGGACGGGTTCAAACCCACTCCTGCCCATCTCACGTATCCCCGTGGAGCTGCAGGCAACACGTGGGACTTCACTGCACCACAAAAATCCCTCCCACGAGCCTCCCTGCTCCCACCTGTGGCACAGCCCAGCATCTGGAGGGGAGGGAGCAGAGCCAAGCACATCAGGTAACCCAGGGGATCTGATCCTGGATGCAATGGCAGCAAAACACCCTCCCGACTTCACTGCCTGGAGTTCCCTCCAGAGGAAGAAACATTTTGGCACCACAACAGTTCACTTTTGGTTTTAGGCTGAAAGTGAAAGCTCAGCCTCTCCCTTCGCAGCCCCACAGCTCAGAATGCAAAACAAATAAATAAAAGGTAAAGTGGGATGGGATGTGCTGCCCTTGGGGAACCTCCAGCCGGGCTCTGGGGAAGGCAAAGTCACATTTGTGCAGCAGGAAGGCAAGAAGTCAGCACAGCCCATAGACAGAATCCAACTCCACAGAGTCAGAACTCTAGGAAAGTGTTTAATAAATACCAGGGAAAAGACAAAGAGTTTAACCTGTATTTCCTGCAGATCAAGGAACAGCCTCAGAAACTTCAGATGCATATGCTCCACCTGTAAGCACTTCTGCAGCACTTAATAAAACCAGCTGGCAGTTTCTTAGCAGTGCCCAAGCCTGCCAGAATCCCAAAGGGGCACTGGGCAATTCCTGGAAACTGGAGGAGTGGGCACAGACTTTTAGAGACTGCTTACAGGTATTTACACTCCTCCCCAGTCAGCCACTAATCCTCCCCCCAGATTGGCCAAACAAGCTACTCAAAAATACTTCCTCTGTTCCAGCAGAACTGCAAATTCACTGTAAATCCACTGACCACAACTACTAACGATGCTGTTGGAAATGGTCTTTCAAAGCACATTAACCTCTGTTCACTACAGTGTATGAAAGGCACAGACCAGGGGAGGAATTGCAGGTCTGGAGACGACAGTTATTGCCAAAGAGCAGCTTTCACACCTGGGAAGAAGTTCTAGTGAAATTATTTATGTCTTTGTTAATTAACTCACTCGTTACACAGAACCCAGCCTGCCCTTGTCACCTCCACCACGAGCTCCTCACCATCTCCTGCAGGTGAACATCAATCCTGATGCAGAAGGAAGGGATGGTCCCTGCAGGAACACGCCATGCCTTTAACACGTGGAAAAGTGACCTGAGAGTCTCCCCCAGACAAATCATCTGCAGGACAGCCTGACACCAGCTGGTTCCAGGCCACACAAGGCAAACCTGGTAGGCCATGGCTGAAGCAGCTGGGGAGCGTGGATCACACAGGGCCCTCAGTGGCACGGGAAAGGCGCTTCCAGAACAGGGACACGTGCTCCGAGCGCACCGTGTGTGCTGGGGGAGAGCGCGGGGTCAGCCCCGCCGGGCGACGACCCCGCGGCCGCAGGGGAGGGACAGACCCCTGGCAGGACTGCAAACACGGCACCAGGAACGGCACCAACCCCGGGGGAGCAGCCCCGTGCTGGGAACGGGCACCCCCAGGGGCTCTGAGCCCCCCGGAGCAGTCCCAGCACACACAGCCCACCAACCCCACCCCCTGTGCACGCGCCCATCCATCCATCCACACGGTTATCAACTAACACTGCAGAAAACATGGGAAAATTTATGTTTTCAGAACCAAACTAGCCACCGGAGTTGGGAAATTAAAGCTATTTTAATCCCTTTAGATCTTCTCCAGTTGTAAATAAAAGTCTGAAAAAGCCCTTGGTTTTGAAATGCTGTTATTCAAACACAAATTCAATACTCCCAATGAGAAAGAGCTGCTTCAACACAAACCAGGAACTCTCTGGCTACACGCAGCAACTCCACGAGTAACTTCCAGGTTCAGCTCTGCTCCCTCCAGGAAACTCAGAGGAAACCCCAGGATCACACTGCAGGGTCAGTTTTAATCATATCACCAACAAACAAAGAAGTGGGAAAGCATCTTCTGCTGGGAACTAACCACTTCTCCGGACCAAATGCCTGAACTCCTCAAGACCTTCTCTCACGCTGTGTCAGCTTACAAAACACAAGGAATTACTTGCTACTTCCCTACTCCCTCTACAGATGCAGATTTGCCACTATAACTCAATACAGAGCTGGAGGAGGAGGGAAAGACAAAAGTAAAGAGCTGACAAAGTTGTCTTATCGCTGTTTATAAACTCAACGATTCCACACAAGTTTTCTCCCAACTGTTGATATCCAGATCTGCCCCTGGAGTTCAGGTTTCAAAGCTGAGGTTTCTGGGTTTGGTGTTCCACCTCTGAGAAAAGGACACCAGAGATGGGCTGAGAGGGGCGAGTGCTCATAACGAGCCAACCCCCCCAAATCCACAGGGCAGCAGCTCCACAACATTTTCGCAGTCACTGGGCTCACTGCATGAAAACACTCCTGGTTTCTGTTTTTCACCATTATATTGAGGACTCCATACGTTTTTCTAGAGCCGCAGCTTCCCGATAACCTGCGCCTGCTTTTTCCCCTGGCAGCGAAACGGAGCCTTTATAAAACCAAACATCCCGAAAGTCAGCGGGTTTCGGAGCCCTCAGCCCGCAGCAGACGCCGAGTTTTCCCCGCCCCCCCGGTGACTTTCACCCGTGCACGGCGGGGCTCCCGGACCCCCGAGCGCCCTCCTGCCGCAGCTCCCCCTCCCCTGAGGCCGGCCCGGTGTCGCGGGGCCCCGGCCCGGCCCCGGCCCCCCCGTCACAGGCCCGCGGGTCGGTTCGTCACCCTCCAACAGCCCCGCGGCCCTCGGAGCGGCGAACGGGCACGGCCGCTCCCCGAGCGGGGTCGGGGCTCAGCGCCGCCCGCCCCGGCTCGTCCCGCTCCCCCCCGAGCCCCGGGAGCGGCCCCGGGCCCGGCACAAACACCGCCCGAGCCCACGGGCCAAGGGCCGGGAGGGCCCTGCCCGCAGCCCCTCGGCCCCGGAGCCCCCCGGGCCCCGCACCCGCCCCGCCCGCGGCCCCGGCCCGCACCAGTTGGTCATGTCGAGGAAGAAGGCGCAGCCCGCGGGGCTGAGCTGGAAGCCGAGCAGGCGCTGGAACTCGCCGATGAGCACGTCCTTGTCGGTGGTGCCGAGGCAGCTGAACTTCTGCATGAGCTCCGCGTCCAGGTCCACGTCCATGCCCTCCATGGCCGGTCCGGCCGGGCCGGCGCCGCCTCAGCCGCGCGCGGGGGGGGCGCGCGGGGGCGGCCGGGGGTGCGCGCGCGCCGTCCGCGCTCCGCGCCTGCGCTGCACCGCCCCGCCCCGCCCCGCGCGGCGCCGGCGTCACCGCCGCGCTGACGTCACCCCGCGCACGCGAGAGGAGGCGGGGCCACGCGAGCGAGGCAGGGAGCGCGGCGAGGGGGCGGGGCCTCGCGTGCAAAGCAGGTTCGGGCGTGACGTCACCGGGGACAGGGGCGGGCGGCCCCGCCCCCGCCGCGCGCTGCCTTCCATATATGGCGGCGGTCAGGGACAACGCATGCAAATGAGCCGCCGTGACGTCAGGCGCCGCCATGCAAATGAGGCTGCGCAACACCAGCCGGGAAATCGCCGTGTTTTTTTTCCTCCACAAAATGACGCTTTTCCCGCAGTTTTCGGCCGCACGAGGCCGTTCCGTGGCGGGGGACAGCGGGTGTTTCCCGTGAGGAGAACACGGAGGGCCCAGCTCTGCCCCGGCCGCGCCGCGGGCAGCACCAAACCCCCCGCGCTGCACACGCAGTGCCCGCGCTGCGGGGCCCGCGGGCGGGGCAATGGCGTGACCCGCAGGGACGGACGGGCCCGCCCACCGCCGCCGCTTCCGGGCACTACGGCGGCCGGCGGGGGACAAGCGGCGGCGCTGCGTGATTGCGTTGTGCGTGTGTGCGTCACTTCCGTGCGGCGGCGGCGGGAGCATCATGCCCAAGTGAGCGCGGGGGGGACCGGGGAACGGGCCCAGCCCAGCCCAGCCCCGCGGGGGGACCGGGGGGGACCGGGGAACGCGCCCAGCCCAGCCCCGCGGGAGTCCGGGGCTCAGAGCGCGAGGGGGGGCTCTCGGTAACCGGCTTTTCCCTCCGCAGGTTTTACTGCGATTACTGCGACACGTACCTCACCCATGACTCCGTGAGTACCGAGAACATCTGAATAAACCTGCCCTGGCTAAGACAACGCCTCGTGGCAGGAGCGCTGTCACCCGTGGTCTCCCAGCGGGGAAGGCAGCTGGGGGGCTCTCGGGGCACCTTCTACATAAACTGGGGGCTCAGCAGGTATCACACAGAGGTGTTGCGCATCGTCCGTGCTCTGGCTGGGCACAGAAACCAAGCTGCTTTGTGCTGATGAGTTGCCTGTGTTTAAAATCACACCAAGTCCTCAGTAATCTCTAGGTTTTCCTGATCTTTCCCAGCCCTCCGTGAGAAAAACCCACTGCAGTGGCCGGAAGCACAAGGAGAACGTGAAGGACTATTACCAGAAATGGATGGAGGAGCAGGCCCAGAGCCTGATTGACAAAACAAGTAAGGCCAATCCTTCCGTGACCCCCCTGCCCTCCCCTGCCTCTCCCTTGACTGCTCTTCTCTGCTCCCACCTCCACTCCTTCTCGCTGCCCTGAGGAAGTCATGAGTGGAAAGTTCACTTGGAGTCCTGATCTTGATCTCTTCAGAGTGGGCTGCCCATCCCTGGGGGAGCCCGAGGGCTCTGCCCACCCCCAGGAGCTGAGGTTCCCTGCCCAGGCTGGGGGCAGTGTCTCTGTCTGCTGGTGTCCCACAGGGTCACACAACACACTTGTGCTCCCTGGTGGTGACTCGTTTGTGTGAAGAGCACAAATAGGAATTCAGGAGATAGGAAAGCAGTTAAAGTGTCTGCGTTGTTGTTCTCACACACTGGGGTTGCTCGCCCTCCGTTCCCAAGGGATGTTTTTCCCTTGCTCTTAAAGGTGTGACTGAAGCACGTCAGCGTGTTCTGTGCCAGTTCCTGGGGCCCCCTTCCCCTTGCTTTCTTCTGAGGAATGGTTCTTCTCTCTGTGGAATACGAACACCAGACTGGCTTTGTGGCAGCTCTCCTTGGATCACAGGATATCTCCAGTTGGGAAGGGCCCCTCAGGATCACTGCCCCCACTCCCAGGTCCATGCAGGACAGCCTGAGACTAAGCCATGTGGCTCAGAGCATCACCCAGGTGCTCCCTGAGCTCTGGCAGGGCCGGAGCCATGCCCACTCCTGGGGAGTGTTCCAGTGTCCCACCACCCTCTGGTGGAAGAGCCTGTTCCTAAAACCTCCCATCTGGGCTTCCCCTGACGCATCCTCGTTCCATTTCCTTTTGCCCATTTTCCTTGTGATGCCTCCAGCCTTCCCACCTTTCGCTCTCCTCCTGCTCGACCCCAGCCTCTCGTCTCTGTGCCCTCCCCCCGTTCCTGCTCCCCGTCCCCCCCAGCCCGTGTCCCGTTGCCGTTCCAGCACAGCATGTCCCGTGGAGCGCTGCGGATCCCGCCGTGTGTGTGGCGTTCCTGTGTCCCCCTCGGTGCCTGGGGGGTGTGACCCCCTGAGCTCCCCAGTGCCGCTGTAACAGTGCTTGTCTCCAGGAGTGCCCGCAGGGACGTGTCCGGAGCCGGCTGCATGACGCGACGTTCTCTCCGCGGGGCATGAGCGGACGAGTCCCCGGCGCTTCCTCGGCCTAGTAACTGGTTTTTTTTTCCCTGGGATTCTTTCTTTCCTTTTTTTTTTTTTTCTTTTCCCCCCCAATGTAGCGGCTGCATTCCAGCAAGGGAAAATCCCCCCGACGCCGTTCTCGGCACCGCCTCCGGCCGGAGCCATGATCCCACCTCCGCCCAGCATCCGTAAGTCTCGCCTGGCACTTCGGGACTGAGACCGTGGTCCTCCTGAGACGTGTGGCTTGTGGCCTCCACTTGGAAAGAAAAGTCCTTTTAGCTTGAAACCAAGTCAAACATTTTGAGCTTGTGCTGCCGAGGTGTGGGGGAATCCTGTGTGGGGGTGGTCCAGCAGCACCCCAGTCCTTGGTGTTGTCTGATTTCGGGGATGCTCTGTCTGTCAGTAGCAGTGAGAGCCCCTCGATCTGTGGGGGCTCCCATGCAGGTGGCTCCATCAGAACTGTCAGTGGTGGGTGGGTTTGGGTTGGGTTTTTTAAACAGAATGATTTTGATAACCTTGTGCACGTGAGCTGGCAAAAGGCCGACAGCCCTCCCAGCCCCAAGTCCCGCTGCTGGGAGTGGCAGTTCCCTGCACTGGGTGTGCACAGCTGGAGTTGGCAGCCAGCACATTCCTCTTCTGGATCACCTGGCACCTGGAATCGGGGCTGGGAGCGAGGGAGGCAGATGTGAGGCAGATGTAAAGCCACCAAGGCCTTAGTAACGGCCGTGTGCTGTGGGAGTGAATAACTGCACTGCCTGTGGGTGTGGCTGTGTGCAGTGTGTAACTGTCTCTGTGTCCAGCTGGCCCCCCCCGGCCCGGGATGATGCCGGCCCCACACATGGGGGGGCCCCCGATGATGCCAATGATGGGCCCACCCCCCCCGGGGATGATGCCGGTTGGACCTGGTGAGTCTGGGATGGGGTGACTCTGTCGGGGTGCTGGGGGGTCTGGGGATGTGTCCTGACCCACTGGTGACAGCTGTCAGGGGCAGGGCTGGGCTGGGGGCTCACTCTGGTCACACCTCTGTCACTGTTCCCCCCCTGCATGGGGGGACATGCAACAGTCTTACAACCACTGGTTAAAGCCCCCTTACTCCTGGCTGAGAGTTACCAGCCCTCCCTGCACAGCTGAAATTCTGGCTCTGGGAAGCTGGAGCTGCTCTCCCTCTGCTCTGAGCAGTAATGTTTTAGGAATTTGGTATCCGCAGCTCCCAGGTTTTGCACAAGGGGCACGTTTCAGCACTAAATGAATTTCACTGTTTAAAATGTCTCAAGATAACGTGTTCTAGAGAAATAATGTACCTGAAAAGGCTTTTTTTTAGAACTGTAAAGGCAAACTAAAAGGTCTTTGATCCATTCCACTCCTGAGTTTCCTGGCATCTGAAGAATTCTCAGGGGATGTCTTACTGGAGCATTTCCCAGAACAGACCTACAGGAACACACACACGTGCACTGAGAGTAGTGAAGCGTCTTTGCAATTACTGTTTTGTGGTAGAAGGTGTTCTGTAAGTGTTTTTAAAGGCACAAGATAAGTGCACAGTCTGCAATATTCAGCAGCCTGGTGAAAATAAATGGCAAAGTGGGATAGAAACCATTATTTCAGGGCTGTGCAGCAAAGCTCCTTGTCTTCCCTGGCCGTGCTGTTTCCCGGCTGGAAGAGGTGCCCAGTGGTTGTTCGTGGGCACATGGGAGGGTTTTGCAGTGCTTTTCTCCAAACAAACCCTCCAGATCAGTAATTAAGCTCATGTGTCTGTCTCTCTTGTCACTGGAAATAACTTACCAGTGAATGTTGTCAAGGTGGGTGTATAACCTAGGAACTTGGTTCCTCCTCTGCCGACGGCTGAGCTCCTTCAGGGAATGGAATCCATCTTGGCAGCTTCCAGACTGGAAGTTCCTGGATAGAGGGAGAGAACCTGCCCACTGTACAGTGTGAAATTCCTCCCTGTGAGGGTGGGGAGGCCCTGGCACAGGTTGCCCAGAGAAGCTGTGGCTGCCCCATCCCTGGAAGTGTCCAAGGCCAGGTTGGACGGGGCTTGGAGCAACCTGGGCTAGTGGAAGGTGTCCCTGCCCATGAAGGGGGCTGGAAATAGATCTTTAAGGTCCCTTCCAACACAAAGCATTCTGTGTTCTGTGGTGACTGGGCAGTTGCTGCTCCCAGTGTTCTCTAACATCCCATCTTTCCCCGGCAGCCCCTGGGATGAGGCCGCCCATGGGAGGACACATGCCCATGATGCCGGGGCCCCCGATGATGAGACCCCCCTCCAGACCCATGATGGTGCCAACCAGGCCAGGAATGACCCGTCCAGACAGATAAAGGTGGAAATGGAGCTGCCTTTTCATATTGGGATCTTCTTCCCAAGGCAAATACCACAGACCCATGTCCTTGGGGTTTTGTCCTGGGTGTGTGCAGGGGCTTTGCTGTCACCTCAGCATGTGGCCTGGACACACCCTGCACTGACTGCTGGATGGGGTCTGGCTTTTGGGGCGTTCTTTTTAGTTGTATTACATTTTACCCCCCCAATGAGTCATAAAAATAACAATAAAACATTGATGTTGTTTCCATACGGTCTCTGAGCCTTGTTCTGGACCCTCCCCTGGGGAAGGACATAGGCGGGAAGTGGTGGGGGGGCAGCGGTGGTCTGTGCGGGGGGCTCAGGCTGACGGCGGGGGTCCCAGGGCGGTCCCTGGGGCTCCCGGGAGGTCCAGGTTCCCGGGGCCGCCCCTTCCCCGAGCGCGGCTGCGGCGGGGGCGGTGCGGGACGGGGGCGGTGCAGGACAGGGGGCGGTGCCGAGGGGGCGGTGCGGGACGGGGGCGGTGCGGGCAGGGGGCGGTGCGGGCAGGGGGCGGTGCCGAGGGGGCGGTGCGGGACGGGGGCGGTGCGGGCGGTGCGGGCAGGAGGCGGTGCCGAGGGGGCGGTGCGGGACGGGGGCGGGCGGTGCCGAGCGGGGCGGGCGGTGCGCGATGGGGTCTCTCCGCCCGCGGGCCTGACCCGCCGGCCCGGCATGGCGGGCATCATCAAGAAGCAGATCCTGAAGCACCTCTCCCGGTGAGGCTCCCGCTCCCCGCCCTCCTCCTTCTCTTCTCCCTCCTCCTCCTCACGGGGGTCTGGGGGGCGAGGGCCGGGCCTGGTCGTGGGTTTGGGGACCGCTGGACAGCGCCCTGGGGAGCTCCCGGGGGGGTGAGGTGAGGGTCGCGGGGGCTGCGGAGCCGCCGGGCCTGGGGGGTGCCCGGGGCTCGGGGGTGCCGGGCGGTGGGCCCGGCCCGGCCCTGCCGCGGGGTCCGAGCTCGGGCCGGTGCTCTGTGTCGGTGCCCGGTGTCGGGGCCCGGTGTCGGTGCCCGGTGTCGGTTCCCGGTGCCCGGTGTCGGTTCCCGGTGTCGGTGCCCGGTTCCCGGTGCCCGGTTCCCGCTGTCGGTGCCCGGTTCCCGCTGTCGGTGCCCGGTTCCCGGTGTCGGGGCCGGCCCTGAGCGGGGCAGCGGCGCTGAGGTTCGGGAGGCGGGTGGGGAGCGGGGCAGCCCCGGCAGAGCCCGGGCGGGGCCGCAGCGGGGGCCGCTCGCGTTCTCGTTCCCGGGGGTTCAGGAGCAGGTGCTCCCTGCGCGGGGCTCTGTGCGGAAACGCTCGGGGCGGGCCTTCCCCCCTGCCCGCCGTGTTGTGTCCCGGCCGCGGGATCGCTGTCACGGACCGACAGGAGCCGGGTCGGAGGGGGCAGGGGAGGGCACAGCACCGCACTCTGCTTCTCCTCTGCGCTCTCCGAGCTGCGGGTGGGCAGGTCCTTCCCGTCTTTGCTGCTGAAAACGCTCGGGTGAGGAGCGAGGGGCCCGGAGTGACCTGTGCGGGCTCAAGGCTGGAGCGAATCCTGGCCCTCTGGGGCTGGAGCTGAGTCCTGGGGGTGTCTGGAGTCCCACACCATCCCCACACCCCATGGGCTCGGTGCAGGGTCTGTGTGCTCGGGGTAACCAGTTGCTCGATGCTCCAGCTCCCCTGGCACTGTCCTAGACAGAGGGTGATGGAGTTGCTCTGGGCGCTGGTTTAAATGGAATTCTGCGTTGGGTCTGGGATTTGGACATGCCACACCTCTGAGTTTTGTCTTATTCCATCTCGCACCGGTGTGTCACATTCAGTGCAGATTCATCCTTCTGGTCAGGAGGCACTGAAGTGTTTATACCATGGGGAGGTGGGTGAAAGCAGTTCTTAATGGAGGATGGAACAGAGCTGGACTTTATCCCTGGGTGCTGCTCCTGTGTGTGTTGCTTTTATGGACAATTCTCTTTCTGTACATAATGCACTTTTGCTGGTGCTTTTCCTTAATTTTGCTTTTTGGTCTCCCTTACCTTGCGCTGTTACAGCACTTTCCTGCCCCCAAGTGCCCCTTTTTCCCTCCAATTGGGCCTGTTGTTAATGTTCACCTGTGTCTCCTTTGGGCAGTTCCAAGGAGGACAAGGAGTCCCAAAACATTCTGCAGCTTTGCCTGTTTGCCTGCTGGGCTTTGTCTCTTGCACAAGGATTGTGCATGTTTTGCAGAAATGCAGTTCAAACACAGTTTAATGATATATAAAAAAGATGAAGCTGTTTGTTTCCTCTAAGTACCTCAGCTTCACCCTCTCTTTGGGTTTTCTTTCAGCCATGCTCATTTGCCTGGAAGAATTTTGCTACATGAATCATTAATCTGCCTTTATTTTGTGCTCACATTTGCCTATGAAATAATTCATTGTTCCTCTTGTTGTGTCTCCATTTGAAGTCAGTTCTGCACGGGGTGTGTTTTTGTTCCCTCTCTCCATGGAAATTTTCAAGGAGCAGTCAGGAGAGGGGCAGCAGGATCAGGGAAATGTGAATGAGGTCTTTCACCCTCCCGTGCCGGTGATCCCATGTCACGTGTGTGACCGGGTGGCCGTGGTGGCGATCGGTACAGCCGGGCTTTGCTCACTTGTGAAGGTATTTGGGAAGGCTCAGCCTGTGTGTGCTTTAGCAGCTTAAATTCCTAGAGCAGGAGAATCTCAAAAGTTGCGGAGCTTTCACCATCTGTGCCTTTCACTCCTTTGTCCTATATTTAGCTTGGAAAAGCAAATAGACTAGGTGGTTTCACTTCTTGCTG